AACTAGGGACAAGGCTTGGGCATGTGCTAAGAAAAGTAATTTGGTCAATGACTGGCTAGAATACAGGATTTTAAGGAATAGATGCGTCAAAAACATACGGCATGCAAAAAATGCCTACTTTTCCTCCACTGTCCTGGAATCACAAGGAAATGCCAGAATTTTCTGGAAAGCAATCAAATGTATCGAAAAGGCATCCAAAACAGACAATCTGCGCATTGAGCTTAACCGAAATGGGGAATATTTTTCAGATCCCGAAAAAATAGTTGACAATTTTAACCTTCATTTTTCTGAAGTGGGTAATCTTTTTGATAATGTATTGGGAGTCACCCCTGCTCATGCAAATTTCTACACTCCTGTCCAAACATTAAACGAAATTAGTTTCCAGCCAATCTACGAAAGTAATGTTCTGAAACAACTGTCCTACTGTACCTCAAAGGGTCCTCCTCTACCGGAGCAGATAGTTTTCCTGTCTTTGCTCTACTAACTGTTGGTCACCTAATTTTTTCAAACTTATAGCACATGTTTTCAACCTGTCCATCAAAGAAGCATTAGTTCCTCTAGAATGGATACATTCCTATGTCCATCCACTTCACAAAGGGGGCCCCAAAGATGATCCAAATAACTACCGACCTATCTCAATTTTTACCCGTTGATGAACATTTTTGAAAAATTATTGACCTACCAAATTAGCAGTTTCCTGTCCACTAACAATCTACTACATCTAAAACAATCTGGGTTCCAAAAAAAATACAGCACCACATCTGCTGCATTAGACTCTCTGAATCACATTTACAGTAGCCTTGATAATAAGTATTACTCTGCCTGTCTCTTTCTAGACCTGTCCAAAGCTTTTGATACAGTAGACCACAACACCCTGCTTAGTAAACTGAGTTGCCTCGGTTTTTTCGAAGACGCAGTAAAATGGTTACAAAATTACCTCTTTTCTCGCACCCAAACTGTATTCACAGATGGTTGGAGGTCAAACAGTGTTAAGATAAGAAAAGGGGTTCCACAGGGTTCCATCCTCGGCCCCCTTTTGTTCTCTCTTTATGTCAATGACTTGGGCACTGACCTGGATCATTCCAGGGTAAATCTTTTTGCAGATGACACGATACTGATTACTGCTGGCCGCTCTCCGGATGACGTGATTGCTAAGCTCCAGGGTGATTTCAACAAACTACAACATCAGCTAGTTGCTCTTAAACTCGTCCTGAATACCTCCAAAACCAAGGTGCTATGCTTCTCACCAGGACTAAAGCAGGAAGTTATTTTCCCCAATTACATTCCTTTAAGAATTATCAAATAGAGCAAGTCAAGATCTATAAGTATATTGGGGTCATTCTAGATTCAAAACTGAATTTTGAAGATCACATTGATTATATTGGTAAAAAGACATACAAAAATTGGTTTTCTGTATCGACACAAGCACTGCTTCCCCCCAATGTTCCATTTGGAATTGATAAAAGCTACCATACTGCCTCTACTTGACTACTGTGACATCATATTCTTGGTTCTTTTGGTAAAGTCATGTAGAAAGGAAACAATAAAATAACATTTTTATTATAAAATATAAGAATATATTATAATATATTTTTATTATTTTATTGTTTCCCTTCTACGTGACTTTACCAAAAGAACCAAGAATATGAATCCCTGCAGTCACGAAAGCTTTGAATCAAAATTTTACTGTGACATAGTGTATAAATCAGCCCCAAGTACTGTACTGAAGACGCTTGATTCCATCTATCACTCGGCCTTAAGATTTACATTGAACTGCCCATATAGGACTCACCACTGTGATCTCTACATTGGGTCAAACTTCACATCTCTTAATGTTCGACGGCTTGTGCACCAGATCTTATTTATTCACGATGTACTTACAAAAAAATCCGCAGACTACCTGCTGGATCTCCTTTCTGTTTCAAAGAACAAATTTGACCTCAGGTCTTCGCTCATTTACCAGCTTCACATTCCCTATTGCCATACAAAAACTGGAGTAAGGGTCTTTGCTATTGATGCCCCCAGGGTCTGGAATGCTATTGCCAATAAACTGCAACTTGAATCGCTACCAATGAGATCTTCTCTCAAAACTGCCCTAGAGGAGTTGTACACCCCTAGCTGCCACTGCTATTCATTGGCGTAAAATAAAATGTTTCGCTCCGGATGATGCTGCAAAGTATTATCTGTATTTTGATTTAGCGTGCTGGTCTTAAAGGTGCATTGAAAAGTTTGATACTCCAACTGATGCTTCTGTGTTGTGGAGTAAATCATGCAGCCAGCTATGGCTCTAGGATTTGGTGTTACATGTTATTTATGTGGTTTATTGTAAAAATTCGGTCACAGTCCTTGTGATCACTGTTACGTTGCAATTATGGCTTTATTTTTTGGTGATTTCGAAAAGTTTTTTGGTTTGTACATGTTTGTTTTGTTGTAGTACGGAGTTACTTTCTTGTGGTTGTTGTTTGACTTGCATCCCACTGGGATTTTTTGCACACAGCGTTGGTGTACGGTGCTTTTTTCAGGAATATTTTGCTGTTTTTTCCATGGATTTTCTGTTTACACAGTCACATAGTCACTTTAAGATGTTTTCTTGTTCGTGTTTTTGTTTTTTTGTTTGTTGTGGTTGCACCCGATTCAAGAGCCGAATGGCTCACAGGGCTATACCAAAATAAATAAACTAAAATAAAACTTAAAAAAACCCTGCCCTTCTCCGCTCTCGCGCCACTCTCCGTGCCCCTCTCGCGCCACTCTCCGTGCTCCTCTCCCTTCTAGCACCACTCTCCCCGTCCGAAAAGATCAGATTTAAAACATAGAGAATGTTTTTGTTATTCACAGCAGAGCAATGCAAATATCAAAAGCAATGTTTAGTATTGGAGAATATTGCGAATTATTAATATTTAATACAGCAGAAAATAATCAAAAGGCTCAGAGAAGACTTGTTGCAGGGCCAACACTCGACACACACTTTGGTTACATTTCAGGATATTATTACTACTACTATTACTGCGATAATAGCCCAGACATTTGTGTAACGCGTGTGACGTCACTCCACATGCTGCACCCCCCCCCCTCCATCATTAATAAAATAATAATGAGCGGGTGGATTTTTACACTCCCGCAGGTCGAGCAGGAATACATTTTTACGCAAATTCGCTTTAAATTTGACGTTTCTTTAGCATTACACAAAGTGGATTTGGTGTCTTTATTTACTTCTTCAGCACTTGCAACAAAAGGTAAGTCTTCCCATGGACAGTTGCACGTGGCTCTGTCTAGATCTAAAAATCCTCAGCGGATCAAAGTGTTCATCAAGGAGAGTCAACTGCAGGGAAACCTTTTGAAGTGACAAGAGATTCACACAAAATATTGTATACCGAGAAATCTTCCAAAGTCCTTAATTTAATTTTATACGTTAAGAAAATGTTATTTATGTGCAACAATTCCTAAAAAAAAATACAATCACACAAGAAAACGTAAATGTACATCTTTTAAATTACAGCTTCCATCCTAGGACAGGCAAAAGTATTAACACCTATCACCCAAAAATGTCTGTCCGTCCCGCGTGTGACGTCACTGGGCCTTTCCCCCTTTTCAAAGAAGCTCTCCAGCGACGTTTGTTTTTTACTCATTTTGGCTACAAGGGTTAGCTTGTGGGCTTACCAAAACTGTGACTGAGAAAAGTGCGCAGTGTGGGGAAGAGGCGCGGACGGAAGTGTTAAATAAAGTAATGGGCGGGCCACGCGTGGACTCATCGCTGCTGTGCGGCCCGGTTCCTAACAGGCTGCGGACCGGTAACGGTCCGCGTCGGGTTGAAACATTCAGGCTGGCCCTGCCTTCGACCTATTCTGATGTTTAACCAGATTGGACTGTGTGAGGAGCTCACATATCCTTGAGAGATCTGGAACACGGTGCCAATGAGAAGTGGAAATTAGAGTCGATTCGAGTTCATCGACGAGGAGCCTCGGACGTGGTCATTTCACACCTTAGCGATAAACTGAAAGGGAAGGATTCAGAGTATGAGGCCATGTGGTCCCCGTCTCTGTTGAAACTAGCGTGATGACCGTTGCTCCTAGGGGTCCGTCCATAAATGACGTCACACGATTTTGGACGATTTTTGACCGCCCCTCCCCGTCGTCACACGGCGTCACAAAAAATCAGACCCCCTCAAATATGACGTCACAAAGCTCTGCCCCCCCTCCTCAAAAAAAATATAAAACATGCTTCAAATTGCTTTAAACTATTGTCATTGTAGTGCGTATTTAGTATTGCGCTGCACTCTGATGTTGTAGGAGAAAACATGTATTAAAAAGTCTATTTAATTAAATAGAACGTGTTGTCTATATTTAAAGTTGCGCATTTTGATGTGACGTCACATTTCTCAACCCCCCCCCCCGTCACACATCGTCACAAATATCTGACCCCCCCCCCCAGGTGCGTGACGTCATTTATGCACGGCCCCTAGGGGAAAACAAGAATGATAATCTCAGGCATCGCGTTTATGTGATTTTATTCTCGGTGGTAAGGCAGTGAGGCCAGGGGCCTCGAGTCCATCCCTTACTTACAGGGCGTACCGCTCCGCGCTTGTTGCGACCTGTGGCTCCCTCTGTGATGTTTGTGTTGGGCATTATGTTATTTACATTAGGTTCTTGAAGACAAAACAACCCAGTGGAGGATATTCCTCCCCCCGCCCCTCTACCACCACGCACCCCTCCCTCACCTCGCCCCTCCCCCTTATCGCACCAGGCCCCTCCCCCCGCCCCTTGCCCAGCACGCGCCCCTCACATCTCCCCTCCCCCTTCTCGCACTCGGCCCTTACCCCCGGCCCTCTCCCACCACGCGCCCCTCCCCTCAGCTTGCCCCGCCTCCTTCTCATATCACGCCCCTCCCCTCAGCTTTCCCCTCCCCCTTCTCATATCACGCCCCTCCCCCGCAGGACGGAGGGGTGGGGGAAAAAGAAGCACCCCCCCAAAAAATAAAGTCACGTGATGCGTCCCAAGCCAATAGGGAACCCCGCAAGGCGGAAGTAGACGTGAGAACGAGGCAGGAAGCGGTGGTGACGTCACCACACGTGCTCTCCCCCTCACACGAGGGACGCAGCGGCAAGCAGCGAGCATGGGTCCCGGAGGCCACATCAACAGGCCTCGCATGGTGAGGGGGCGAGAGGGCGACGATAGAGGGCACCTGTGAGGGAGAGCGCGAGGGAGTGGAGAGGGCACGTGTGCATGAGCGAGTTTTCTTGTGAAAACGTGAGAAGGAATGTGTGTTGGTATGTTGAACGTCTTTCGCACCGTACGCAAGCCAGCCGTGCTAATCGGAGGTGAGGGGATTGAGAGCGAAAGCGTGTGCGAGAGGGCCTTTGTGAGTTTGTGTGGGGAGCGGTAGTGTGGTGGTAAGCGCACTGCGCTGCAAACCCGACGACCGGAGTTGATTACTCCTCACGACCAATAACAGTGACAAATATTTGAACAGGTCTTGGGGCTCCCTTGTGAGGTTGTATATCAGCTCTGGGGGGACTTTAAAGGCTGCCGATCCTGGACTTGGGCTCGTGCCCTGTGTCGGCCTTAATCGGTGCTCACTAACAGAACCTGTCCCAACAAGCCGGGTAGTGGGGAGCGGTAGTGTAGCAGTAAGCGCGCTGCGCCACGAACCCGAGTTCGATTGCCGCTCAACACCAGTGACGATTATTTGAGCCGGTTCTGGGCCTCCCCTATGTCGACTCAACCTTAGATAAGTACCTGGTGCGTTGTGTAAACATCGCCACTAGAGAGACAAAGGCTGCCGGGCATGGTGCTGGCCATCCACCCCCTCGTGTGCCGTGCGTGCCTTCATACCAGCTACTCGCTAACAACACTTGCTCCCAACAGTCTGTTATAGGCTATACAGGGGATCTTTGCCTCTTTTTTTTGCCAGTCAAGGCACTGACGCCGGTAAATGTTGGTTCTCTTGCAGGAAGTGAGGAAGAGCGTCGTCAGGCTGCGCCGAACTCTCAAAAGGGATCGACTGTTCAACAAGAAAGCTCGCGCCGCGTCGGTCGCACTCACGCAGCCTGCCCGGTACGGTGAGCGCAGTGACACCGCAGTGCCACTGCCGAGGTGGACGACGACGTGGTGACGACACCAGTCATCGCAGCACAGCGTGCGCGCGATGTGTAAAAAGATGATATGCGTAGTTTGACGATTTTTTGTAAATTGCTAAATAAGCCACGGCTTCCTTGCAATATGAACTCTGTGCGGCGTTTGAATTGCGTAGCTGGAGATAGAATCGTGGAGCAACAGGGAAAAACAAAGTGTAGCGCATCTCCGTCCGCAAATCGCGATTCCTGTGAGTGGGTGGGAGCTCACGCAGAGCTAAGATTGATTTACTTTGCAATTATATATTCTGTTTGCATCAGCATAAACTAATGCTGATGTGATTTGTGTCATCTAGATGAAATTTGTAATTCAAGTAAAAAAAAGTTAAAATCCTTTGCCATAGACCTCAATGGTAGATTGGCACAATTTAGCTCTAAGAAACACTCGTAACCTTTAAAGTCTGTGAACTTATCGCGGATTAATCGAGTCGCGTGGCTCCTTCGTCCGATAAACATCGTCATATGGAGCCCACACATGATCGCGGATTTTCTCAATATGGAAAGATTTGCATGTCATGCTATTTGATCGTGAAGTTTTTTTTTCTCCAAATACCACTGCAACTACTTTCAACCCACAATTAACTGAGCTTTGGAAATTTCCTTAAAGTCTCACATATAGTGTCAGAGTTGAGATTATCCATAAAATAAGTCTGGGTTCTGCTCATCTGTCTTAACTAGTAGAAATGTGATCACCAATGTTGAATTAATGCATTGTTACAATTTAAGACCACAATTTAATTCAAGAATAAAAATTTTCGTCTCTTTTTTTTCCCATGCCTACTTGGCACAACTTTTCTTCATTAGCCTACATATAACAACACATGCATACAATTATCGTAAATCAAAACACAGATTCTTATGTACCTTGATATATGTACACTGAGCCTTAAATGATCATCTGTATCCTTACTCCATTATTTTAAATAATCCCAACTACCTTTATAATGCGACTGTGAATTGAAGCAAATATATTCAGTCACTTGTGGCAGAGGTACACCACTTGGGGCAGAGGTTCTAGTGGGCCACCCTGGTTATTACTGTAGATGTACTAACCATTAAATATGTGCTGTCTGCTTCACAGAAGATGTTAAAGAACCTTTCATTTGAAAAGAGATTTCCATTATGTGCCGTGGTCATGGTCAGTTTTCCAAATTTGAAAAATTAACTGCAAAATTTTCAATTAGGCATACACATGGCACCACGGCCCCCTACTGTGAAACCACTGCTATGTATGTTAAACATAGCACCTTCGTCAATAGCCTTGCTCCTTTGGAATGGCGTGATCGCCAAACATACCAAATTATTATTCCCTTGTGATTTATAGGAAATTATTTTCATCGACTGCGCCACTTTAGTAATTGTTTTGAGTTGCAGCACCATGCCAATCACGGACCCCTTAGACGTGTCACAAAGCAGGTGTTCGCACAATGTACAAGTACTAAAAATTATTACGTTGTCTAATCCTGGAGCATATGGGATAGGTTGTATTAAAAACTATGATGGGTTTATATTCTTAGTTTTTTCGGTAAAGTCACGTTGAAGGGAAACAACAAAATAATAAAATATATATAATATATAAACACATATATATTTTTATTATTTTGTTGTTTCCCTTCAACGTGACTTTACCGAAAAAACTAAGGAAACAACAAAATAATAAAATATATATAAACACATATTTTATTATTTTGTTGTTTCCCTTCAACGTGACTTTACCGAAAAAACTAAGAATATGAATTACTGCAGTCACGAAAGATTTAAATCAAAATTTATGATGGGTTTGTTAGTATTTATGCTGCACTGCATTTGCGCCAAGCCAGGGAGCAAGCAGCTTTATCACTCGATGAATGTGGTGGTCCAAATTGACGGACCGCCACTAATCCTTGGACCTCCGCTAATCCTTGAACCAACGCTAAGCCCTTGTTAGCAGACGCGGTCTTCAACAATGTGCGTCATCGTCTGTTTCAGGCCTACCAAGGAAACGCCTGTTTCTGGCAAAAGACGAAGAAAGCAGCTGAAGAGGCTGCGTCACGCTCAGAGGGAGCAGAACGCCATGCAGGGTGCGGACTTGTTTTATGTAGTTTTTTTTTACATAATTGCTGAGCACAGGCGAAAGGCGTCTAAACGGCCATCAACAAATAGCACTATTAGAGTTTCTTGAATGAGGCAAGGTTAAAAGAGGGAGGGAATTCCAAAGTGTGGAGCAGTGTGAGGGAAGAAGAAGAAATATAAGTTTGTTGACCTGCTGTTTGGTGGCTAAACACTGGGGATGAGAATATATGGTCTGGTAGACATAGGTGGAGGAACCGAAGAATTACATTTATGGTGCAATAAACATGGTAGTAGGGATAGAACAGTGATAAGGAGGTGACTGATTGCAAGTGAGTACTTAATTATTAAGCCTGTGCATCTGATGGACACGTGGTTGTACCGGGTGTGGTAGTGTAGCGGTTAGCATGCTGTGCTATGAACCTGGCGACCTCAGTTCGATACTCACTCATGGTCAACGCCAGTGACGATTATCTGAACTAGTCTGGGTCTCCCCTAGGTTGACTCGGCCTCATGAGTACCTGTTTTGCTGTGTAGTAAACAACACCACTGGGGAGACGAAGGCAGCTGGGCATGGTGCTGGCCACCCACCACCTCGTGAGCCATGCTGGCCTTCATAGGCGCTCGCTAACAGCACTTGCTACTACAGTCTGTTAACGCTATACGGGGGATCTTTGTAGCGGGTGCATACACGCTGAAAGAAGTTGAATGCAGGGAAGCATTATTGGATGGGAAATTATGGGCAGGATATGAGCAGCTTGTGTTTTGATTTCAGGTTGCGTTTGTGTGAATCTGGCTCGACCTGGGCATGGCTGTCTTGAGGTTATAAAACAGGGTTAACCTTGATCCAATCGCAAATAAATAGTTAAATCATAGCTTAGTATGTGTGCTTTTTTAAACTCAGAAATATTGCACAAGTCTATTCAAATTAATAAGTTGCTGCTTGGACAGTTTGCTATGGTTTTTAAACATCCACTGTATCCTGTGCTTTAATGTAAACTGAAGCATTTTCCAAGAATATTTAAATGTAATATTTAATGGAACACATCGAGGGGACGTCAACTGAGGAGATGGAGCAATGGGATCAGTTCATGCGTGGGTGCTGGGTGGATTATTACATTTTCAGGGTCATGAAAGGTGGCACCGGCTTGGGGAGGCTGCTGATGATTTTTGTTTTACCTGGTACGAAATGTATTGTATTACCCAATAGGTAAGATGGACAGTAGCATGGTTAATTGTTTGGAATCCGTACATTTTACTTCGTTTTTTTATCACAGTAAAAAAATTAAGAGTTGCTGAGCACAAGGCTGAAGGCCTATCATGCTACCTGGCTATACTGAGAAAACGGATGGCACAGCAGCCAAGACTTGTCGTCGCTCAGGAATATTGCAGTGGTGACACTGATTGTGATGCCTGTGCTCCTGTGCCTGCGCCTTCCAGTGGAGACAGAGCCCCAGCCATCGCTACTTGGTGAACAGCCGTTGGAGAAGAGCACCACCTCCTCGCGACGCAAGAGGAAGCAGAAACAGCAGCAGACAGCTGATGTGGAGATGACAGAAAACACAGCTGTTGTAGTTTAGTCAATTCATTGTTAATAAATAAATGAAATATATAATAATCTTGCCTTTGTATTTCTTTCAAGAGAAACCTGTATCAAAAGACGAATATTTATGTATGGAGATGAGGCTTGTATACAACCAACTCCTAACAAGGATGCAAGGGAAGCAGGGGGAGGAGGCAATGGGGGTGGTTTGCTCCCCTTACAAGACCCAGAATAGCAGTGTATGTTATTGATAGAAAATACATTGATTTTAATTTTGTTGGACCCTAAAAAAGCCCCTCTCGGGAAGTTTCTGATCAGCAAGGACATGAGTGCAACCCCATGCCGCCTCTGCTCCCCTGTAAACAATTACAACTTCATTCGCACCGTACGTAGTTGGGGGATTTTATTAAACCACTTTTGATCTGCATTGGTTTTGTTTCTCACTCGTGCTTTATTTGATCATAGATTTCCTTTGCAAGAAAACTGCTTTTTGGATTCAAAAGTTAAAAAGATAAAGTGTTGCGAAATGAATAAGTTTGCACAATGGACTTGCAACCCATAGATCATCGTTCTATTCCAACTCCCAGCACAGCAGTTGACACTGGGAATAGTTTATTAACCCCAACTTTGTCCATGCAACAAGTATGAATGTGTACACCACTCGATCGGCATGTTTCACTTGTACGTGTTTGTGATTTGCACGGTGGGGTAAAGTGTGGGTACACCTACATTTTCGAGGCATCTGATCAACGTGGGATAGGCCACCGACTCACTTAAGTCTGGCGTTTTGCTAGAATGGCAAAGCAATTGCAAGGCTGCACCTTTACCTTTGTAGAGGATGTTCAAGCCATCCTCACGTACCGCAGACGTGCTATCTCCGCACTCAACAGGGCGCACACCAATCACGGGAATGCACTCGACGGGGGTTAAGGGGCACTAACGTCACGGACTCTGCGTGCGAGACGGAGATGTGGATTGTGAATGAGGGTGGAGATGGAGGGTTTAAATGGGGCTGTTAAACGCGTGTTTGGGGTTGAAGAATAAAGAAGTGCGTAACCAGTTTGCGACTCTTCACCTTTTGAATAGCTTCTGAGATTCTCCCACCAGATTTAGAAGCCATGAATCTGGGCTCGCCATAAAAATAACGTAAAATAGTTTGGACAATCGATCTTTTAACACTTAGTTCAGGCAACCTCAAGTGACACAAGGTTTGTCGTTATTGCCAAGAGCCAATAATGTAGGCGTGAAAAACCAATGAGCGTCGCTGTAAACGAGTGTAACTTTGCATTTGTAACTGTAAACCGCTGGTAGTCTTTCAGAGGCAAGTGAATGAAATGTAGAGATATGTCAACACGGCAATTCATTTCTACTAATTTTTGGATTACTGCAAAAGTAACGTTTAGCAATATTGGATGTGAATTTTAAGTCATATAAGCGCACAACTTATCTGTGATGAACGCTGCACTTTCCGTCGTTTTCATGCAGGGGGCGCTGCATGAACGACGGAGGCGCAGGGACAGACGTTTATTACGTTGGAATAGATCTGCAGACGGCGGTCTTCTCGCAGTTTGTCGCCTTATCTTGATCCCGCAATCCCAAACAGGTGAAAGTCCGCATCGAACCGAACCCCCAGCAAGGTCATCTACTTAACGACGGGTGAAAATTCACACGAAATGTCGTTTTCAATTTAGTCTTCCAGATGTAAAATGATATAAGCTTTTAATGAAATACAATTGTCTAATTCAAAACAATACAATTCAAAGATGTTTCATTTTAAAACTTGAAAACGGAGCATCGGGTGCTTGCGTGAATGTGTCATTCGTGTGCAATTTTTTTCGTGACTTTCCTGGCCAAAGGCCGTAAATGGTTGTGAGGGGCGCCACAGGCACCCCCGAACAACCCCGGGTGGACAAATATCACCTCGCTCTTGTGAATACATCTCACCTGAAAAACAGCACTCCCATCGCTTCAATTCAAGCCCGGTTCCAGCTGCTCTAGGATGTGTGCGAGTATTGTGGGTGAGAGTATTGTGCTTGTATTGTAATTGCGGAGGCCGACGTCCACCCCCTCCACTCCCCTCTCCTCGTCGGCCGCCTCTCGCCGGGCCCCCGCCGATTGTGTGATCGCCCCCCCCCACGCCAGCGCCCTCTCTGAGGGACATCGTCTCTCGGCCGGCTCACCACCGCCCGGGGTTATCTCACGTGCAGCTCAAATTACACCACCACACAAACGAACGCGGGGGCGTGCACGCACGCGCCCCTGCAGGCGCGCGTTTCCCTCACAAAGGCTGGCGCTGAACAAAAGAAACGACGGCGGTATGAATATGCGCGTAGCTGCGCTAAAGAGAAACAGCGGCAGATATTAATATGCACGCATCCCTCCCCCCCCCGGGTGGTTAAGCCTTAATCTGCTGTGCAAACAAAGGCTAATGCTAAAGGAAAATGAAGCAAGTGTTGCATGTGTGCGTGTGCTCAAGGTGGGGGCCGAGAGGGCATCGCGGCGTTTTGCAGAGTTGCTCCGCGGTCGTGGCACCACACAATCATCGCCACTCAGGAGACAAAGGCGGTCTGGCGTGGTGATGGCCACCCCCACCCCCTCGTGTGCCTTGCCGGCCTTCATCGGTGCACCTCGCTAACAGCACTTGCCCCAAAAGTCTGTTGAGGCTATACGGGGGTTTGGGGAGGGGGGGAAATTACAGACGTGGACACTCCAATAACAGCTTCACCACTCATGAGTCAACATGGGTGGGAGGGGGGAATCTATTTTCTCTTGTCTGATTATACCTATCACATCTTAACACAATTTACATTTCTCCAGTCATTTAATACATCTCAATCCACTCTAGTCTAAATTGTTTAACCTCCCAGTGAATACATTTCTTTCTACATATCTTTTATGTATCCCAACCTATCTGAATACATCATTTATCTTATCCAGTCAATATATCGATGCATCTCATCCCGTCTGAAGAATCTGTTCACCATCTCACTATTTTAGATCTCATGTACAAATACTGACACCACGTATCCTGCATATTTAATTGAATTGTATTCTGTATACACGTGTATTACTGTATACAGTCATTGCATGCCACACATCAATTGGCAGCAGAAGACCAATTCACCCATTTCACTTTATATGAAGCTGGCTGCATCGTCATATATGGCCAACAGAAACTGAAGATTTGTGGGTACGGTTTAGGATAACCCAACATGCAATTCGTTTTACGGTATTAAACCAGTAACGAAATCCTTTTTTAGTTACCATTCCAGAGCAAAACTTTTCACATTTCGGTTACTGAAAATAAACTATTAAGCCTGTTTACCAGATCCAGTTTTTGTTTCTGCTGGGACTCCTCTACTTAAAAATGAGTTAGGTTCCAGAGATCTGTTCCTAAGTCCAACTTACTCCTGTCGATTCCAAACATGTTGTACATGTACACTAAACACATGCTTTAAAAGTTGCATAATCTGTTTATGAAGATTCCACTGATTCTTCATGTTTTGCAGATGTAGATGCCACCACCGCTATCTATTGCACGGCGGTTGAACTTACGACTCTCGGTCCGAAGAGGCAACTGGACATACAGCTAGGTTTGTTTGTATCTCTTGAAAGTAATGTACACAAGATGGTGTGCCTGTACTCGGCACACTATTTCTAAACGTGATGGCATGTCTATGGCGTGAAGAGAGATTTAAAATAGCATCGTTAATTCTAAAAATAAAATCCTGCTTACACCTTAACAAGCCCCCGTCTAGGGATGAAAGACTACCCAAAGGGCGAAATACCTAGACATGCCCTAAGTTGACTTGATTTGGGTTCAATAAATAAAACATTAAAAAGGAAATCCTGTTTGTGTCAAACATTTAATATTTGAGCAGCATTTTACGTGGTATCCAGTGACGTCTGTGTGGATCCAGCAATGTCACAGCTGCACACGGTCCCCGTCGGAACAAACAATGACACCGCTCGCCTGAGCAAAACCGACCACGCTCAAAGATGAACCTTTTCACAACTGTAACCTACTTTGCATATTCATCACATGCGGCAATGCCAACTGCACTTTGGCAAGTTGGGGTGCGGGTGTTTTAAGTGTCTTCTACCTCTGCCTTTAAAAACAAACATTCTTCACCATCGCTGGTGACGTAATCCCGCATCCTGGAAAACTGAAGGAACCCGACTTCCCCGAAGGGTGGATTCCACCCCCCTGAGGGGTGCACAAACGACGGATTTGATGGCTGAGTCGATGGATTTATGTTCAACGATACTTTTTTGCTTCTTCTCTGAGCTGGGATTTGTATGGAGATGGTTGTCTGAAACATAAGAGTTAAACAATAGCATTCATCAAATCTTTAGTGTAAAATAATCTTGAGTGTAAAAAAGACAAAACCCCAACAATGTAATTTTGACTAAACATCTCGATGCCATAATGACTAAATTGGGGTCACACAATGCAACGAGCGAATGGCAATTGTTGATGCCGGCTCAACACCTGGCTGTCTTCCTGCTTGTCTGTGGTTCCTCATATATATCATTCTCTTTGCATATTTCAAGTTTACACTATGTGAAACAAACGTGGCAGGACCCTTCTAAAACGAGTCCTGAGAGTGTGAGACTTTCCTGGGAAAACAAGCATAATCATAATAACAAACTGATATCATTAGCTGGCTAACAAACAAATCACGAGTGTTTACATACTGGACTCCCCATGTAATAAAGCCAAAGTGACATGCACAGCTGTCGGAGGATTACTGTGTGACCAATACACGTATTTCCATGATCACCGAAGAGCCGAGGCCTGCGAGCTCCACCCAGACGACGCAGCTCCTTTGGTGAAGTGCTAATTGGGCCACTCTCAGAAACAGGCATCGCATCACGAAGTCCATGTGCGCCATTTACCGAGTCATGGGAAGTCAGTTTCAGGACCTTGTTTTAGTTTCTAATGAAATGGCAATAGAAATACAAATTGGAATCGGTATGACCCATGCTGGAGTCCAAGCTGGGCTGAGCCAAGTCTCCACCAGTGCCATGGCCTTGCCTAGTTTCACTTCCCATGATTCCTGCACACCCAACCCCTACCTCTCCTGCAGCCTTGAGTCCGAGTCTTAATTGGTCTAAAATCTAGGCAAGGATGGAGATAGTGGATGTTTAAATTACTTAGTATGTGCTAGGTTCATTTGGTGGGCCAGCTTTCAAAGGTATCACCTTCACGGTGTATAATAGTTGTATATGTGAAATATTGGGAGCATCTCCACTTGTGTGGGTCCTACACTCATGTAACTCATGCTGGGTTGGGTGTGCCAGGGTTACCTTCAGCTGGTATGGCCAGGCTAATGTTGCATCATAAGGTCCAGGGCCCAGCATGGCATACGCAGACACGTGCTCACCGCTACGACAGAGCCTCAGTCGTAACCTGTAGCCATATCG